CCCCGTGCTGGCAGCCTTTGGGCCTGTGACACACACACACACACACACACACACACACTCACTCACACATCCCATTCCCAAGCTCACACTCATACCTACCCATATTCATAACCCACATTCCAATTCCAACACACATCCACTCATGCTCATCCTCACATTTACATACACAGACACATACCCCCATACTCAGGCATGTGAACACGTTCTCAAACCCACACTCACAACTCACACCCTCACACATTCTCACTCTCGCCTGTGCTCACACCCACATCCTCTACCACACATACCCATATGACCTCACACCCACACTTACATGCTAGTGCACAGTCACACACCCACAAGCACTCTTACGCACTCACACCCACCGTCTATCCACACCTACTCACGATCTCACATGTACATGCTTGTGCACTTTCACACCCACATTCACAGGCACTCTTACACATTCACACCCACATCCTCTGTCATCCACACCTGCTCACACCATCTCACACCCACACTTATACACTCGTGCATATTCCCACACCCACACTGACACCCACATGCACTATTACACACACACATCTATCATACACACCAACTCACGATCTCATGCCCACACGTACACACTTGTGCATTAACACACTCACACGGACACCCACAGACACTCACACCCTCACACCCACATCCTCTATCCACACCTACTTATCCATTTGCACACTAACTCACACCGACGCCTATATAATCTGTCATTCACACACACACAGCCTCAAATTCAGTCACACTCACATCAGAACACCCACCGGCTCCACCACATTCACATCCATGTTCACGCACTTGCACCCGCCCATGACACCCCGACGCTACTGCGTCACATGCTCACACACCTGAATCCCCTCGCACTCACATCAGAACACCCACCGGCTCCACCACATTCACATCCATGTTCACGCACTTGCACCCACCCATGACACCCCGACGCTACTGCGTCACATGCTCACACACCTGAATCCCCTCGCATGCCCCTCATGCTCGCCCCCCACCCTCGCGTACACACACACACACACAC